GTATAATTTGGAAACGAAAACATTGGCATTGCACTCATCAACCCGTGCCTAGAGCAGAGATCGCGTCTAACGAGCTCGCAGAAAGCGAACTAGACAAGGGTCATAATTGAATGTGGACTTAGTTTCTTGGGTATGTATTGAGTATTCAACAATGGCTTAACGTAACAATTCTAATTTGTCTGCAAGACCTCGCCATAGCAACGGTCAAACAGAATATTTATCAAATGCATGCCATCAACAGAAGTTTTCTAAGTCAACTAACTTCCAATAAGGATTTGTAACTTTTACATGGAGAAAAAATATATTTGACTTAACCGTGGCGTTAACTGCTCGGTTTTTCAGGTTCTCCACATCTTAACTGAGTAATCAGTCCTAGACGATCATGTAGGTCAGAAAAATAATTAACTTTGTATTGGTTATTTGTAACAAATAAAGTGTAGTGTCGATATTCCGTTTTCAAACCTAAAAGTGCCATATAGTGAAAGCTCTCTTGACAGAACTGGGCTCAAAATGGTTCATCTTGTTACCAGCGCTCCAACAAAATCCGGTTTAAACTCCCATACAAATGTTATCATTTAACATTTCTGTATGGGACTATTCCCGTATATGCCTGCAAACTTTTTATTTGTAATTACCTGTCATGATCATTGAATGCCAATGGAGATCAACTATGGACCCTTGGTTCGGAAAACTAGTTCTCAACAGGACTGAAAAAGAGGCTGGTTACTGTGCAACTTTGGTAATTTGGTATCACGGGTCTCTTGAACGAAAGAAGATCTTTGCGAGCTGAATGTTTTGCTTTGTTTATAAAATGGTACTCGATATATGTCGATCCACGCAGCCATTTTTGTTTTTTTGTTTTTTGTTTTGTTTTTTTTTGTACCAGTCCCCTTGATCCGTCTGTTTGTCACTATTCGTCCTAAGCCTCTTGATATGGATTTATGTCGACTCACACAGGATGACTTATCCGCCTAACCATTTGAAACTTTTTAAAGACGAATAAATCGTCAGAAAACTTGTGCGTTCAGGCCATCAACAAAAGACAAAAGCCCATTTTGCTCTGACCAAGGACTTACGCTCGAAACGTCAGCGTAACATTATCTCTATCGCGGTCAATTTACCTTTATCAACTTCAATGAATAGGTCAGTGTTTCATTTTCTCACTGACGCAGCCCAACGGTTTCTTTTATTAGAAACTACTTTGTTATTTCTTAGTCAAGCGCAATCGCGCGGATCCAACCATCAATCACGTCTTTAATTTACTTTTAACGGAGCGAGACATCAAAAATGCAAATGTGGTCAGTCAGGATATTAACTGTACGTTCCATCCCACAGGGCTTGCCATACCTATTCTAGATCGTTCTAACCGACAGCGGAAGAGGCAACAAGCACAGAATAGCTTGGAGACATCCACAGGCCATGGGACAAGCACAGATACCTAGAAAGGATGATTGTACCCTGGAGGAGACTGCATAGGATTCTTAAGGTAACACTGGCGTTGCTCTCGGTAACCTGGTTGAATGTTTTCTTTTGCCGGTCAATACCTTTGTGATTATCATACATATTTCCTCTTAAAGCTTGGTTTAGACTTTAATTGAAACGCATCTTCGAAACATTTTCTTTTCCATTTTACCTGGCCTCTAGTTGGACGAGGTTCATTTGAAAAGTGGATAAAGTTGATAACAATCACTGAGAAACGATGATCTCAAGGAATTAAATATATTTGGTTGGCATGTCCACGACACAGACATTATCTCATGCATGAGCAAAATACTTGTAAATGTCCACGTCTTTGACGTTACCGCATTAGATAGATAGTAAGAAATGCATGAAACACAGTGAGAGCTGATCAAGAGACTGTGAAATTATAGAGAATTTGGCTTCCCCAGTAAAACAGCGAAAACGAGTGTTAAAACCATAAAGCTATAGCATGTTAAGGCGTTTCTCAGAATGCAAACTATGCATTTCTGCATGATTTAAGCAGATGAGACTTTTAATTCGCCTTTATTACATCCTAATGAGCTAAGATGCTTCTCTGGAGATGTGTGAATAGTTCGAAGGAATCGAACAAGGTATCGTGTAGGACACAAAGAGTAGTCGAATTAAATTACCAGTTTGTGAACATAATTGGAATATTTAATTTATGCACAAATGAGCTAGGATGATCGACAGTGCATGTTGATGGCAGCTGCATGAAATAGATTTAATTACGTACTCTTGAGTTTGTTTGGTACCTCAAAGTTGACAAAGGCCATCTTTACTTCATGATTTCGATTGCATGTAAAGACTCCGGTACATCTAAGGAGTCTGACTTTTTTCAATAAAGACTTCATTCATACATTCATGCATATTAGAGTCTATGTTCATGGCTCAGTTGCATTGAACAAATTCAATTACGTACTCCTGAGTTTGTTCCGTACACTCTTTTTTTCTATAAGAATATTGTTTTTGCAGTCGAAGCTCAATATTCTTGTTTTTCTGCCCATTTTAGGCTGAAATATTCTTGTGAATATTATTAGATTATAGTGTATGACATTTCTGTTTTCGAATGTATTTGGTGTCTGGATGGTGTTAAAGTGATTTTGGAGCCAGCCTGCAGGCATTAAAACCTGATATCACGCGCAGGACTTCTTGCAGAAATGTTATTAGCATCGAACATACGACTAGTGCTGTTTTTGTTGCGTTTTGGAAAGTTTTGCCATTTAGAGAAAGAAAGAATTTCATACGGTTTAGTTTAAAAAGTTTAATTGTTTTGTGTTTACAAATTTTCACAACACAAAATTGTATTCTTTTCAAAATCTCAGGCTCGAGAATATTCTGAAAATATTCTTAAAATTCCGCGATTTCAGCCTGGATATTCTTATAAAACATAGTCTTATAAGAAAGAAAGAGTGTACCTCAAAGTGGACAAAGCCCATTTATTTAACTTTTACACCGTGATTTAGAAAACCTATACCTGTGAATTTAGAAACTACACGCCACGTAGGGACTGTGTTGCAGGGTATAGTCAATATCAATATTTATGTGACAAACATAATGTTGACAAACGAGCGAAAACCTTACTTCTCGATTCTTTTGAATTCATATTAAAATAAGGTTGCCTAACCAGGAGAGAATCAAAATATAAAATACTACGTGCTTGGGGATCGGAGCCGTCGAAGGTTGGGTCCCGGCACTTGATTTCAATCGTCTCTATTATCTTTCTTCTGAGTCTGATGACCTCCATTGCAGTGATACTTGTATTTTATTTGAAATTCTGAAAATGGCGAGATTAATCACTAACACTTTGTTGCCTACTAATTTAGATTCCGTATCATTAAAGAGGCTGCCTAATTGCATTCAGTCACCTCAATGGCAGCTGCTGTACCGTCGCCCCTAGCTAGCAGCGTAGAGAAGACAAATGGAGCCAAGCTGAGCAGACTTCTGATAGATGGCGGAACAACGGTTCTGAGGAACGCTTTTGATAACTACTATCCTCCTGCAAATCTGGCTGCTGATCTTAACGTGCAATATAAAACCCTGCTAAGCCTCCTGCGTCGACGAATCCTCAATAAATGTCAATGGGAAAAACTGTTCCCTTCTAGTGGAGCAAAGCCAGACTCCAACTCTTTCGACATCACTCTTCTATTCTTGCTTTTGACCACCATTTGTGGACTATCCCCTCCTCTTTCAGGTTGGCACACTAAGCCACCTCCAAGTGAAACCTCATTTGAAGCAAATCTTGCTCGCATTAAGTTTTTCCGCAATGAATTGTATGGTCATGTGTCTTCCACTGGTGTTGATACTCCAATGTTCAAGGCCCTGTGGCAGGAACTTAGTGCTGTTCTTGTTGCTCTTGGGCTGGGTCAGGCGGAAATTGATAGATTACAGGCAGAGTGCTTTGGAGAGGACGATTACCTTGACGCGTTAATTGACTGGGCTGCTAGTGAACAAGAAATGAAGTCAGAGCTGAAAGAGATGAAACGAGATGTTAAGAAAGTACTTCAAACGCAGCTGGAAGATCGCAAAACTCAACACGAAAGTAATTTCAGGTTGGAGCAAGTGCATGAGATAGTGAACAAGACCAATCAAGCCGTCAATGAGGCCTGTCAGACCCAAGTAGAAGTCCACAGTTCACTTCAAGATACTTTCTCAAAACTGGATGAAATTCATCAAATCGAAAACAAAACCCATGACGCCCTAAAAGAAGTACGTCAGACCCAACTAGAAGACCACAAAACACTTCAGGATGGCGTTTCCATGTTAGAGGGAATATCCCAGACCCAAACCAAAACTCAGCAAGCCGTAGAAGACGTGCACGAAACTCTTGAGGCAGGTCTCCGAGAAGTAAAACAGGAGGTAGAGAACTTGAAGAAGAAGCGTGAGGTGGACGGAGCAGATGAATTGCTAAGAAACCTTGCTAAGTCCGAGTTCAAAGGAGACATTGAATACCATGCAAAGAGATTCCAGGAAGGAACCCGTGAATGGGTCTTCAAAAGAGTTGACGACTGGCTAGATGACCGATCTTCCCCAAACCGAGTGATGGTAATAAGTGGAAGTGCAGGGATGGGAAAATCAGTTATCTCTGCGATCACATGCAAACGAATGCAAGAGGCTGGTAGACTTTCAGGGAGCCACTTTTGTCAGCATAACAATGTACGTTACAGGAAACCTCAGCTAATGCTTCAGTCCTTGGCCTGTCATCTCAGTCGCGCTCTACCAGAGTACAAGAAATCTCTCGTGGAACAGCTGTCAAGAAATCTGGGCCCGGTAGACCTCAACAACATGGGCGTGGAAGACCTATTCGCGTTACTTTTCAAAGAACCACTTAACATTGTAGAAGACCCGGGAAGAAATACCCTAATGGTGATAGATGGACTGGACGAGAGTGAGTATCAAGGACGTAATGAGCTTCTCGATGTGATTGCAAATCAGTTCTCCAGGCTTCCTCAATGGATTCGATTTTTTGTGACAACCCGATCAGAAATTAACATCGCAGACAGCCTGAAGCATTTGCAGCCCATACATCTTGATGAAAATCAGGAAGAGAACTTGAGAGACATTCGGTTTTTCTTTGAAATGCGGCTGAGTCCCAAGATTGCGGAAAAGCAAAAAGATCTTCTTTACACGAAACTGGTTGAGAAGTCTGAAGGCGTTTTTCTTTATGCTTATTTCCTGGTAGATCACATCCAAGAGAATGTTCCACTTCTCACCCTTGAGCAGCTAGAGAGCATTTTACCGTTGGGTATTTCGTCCGTTTATCTTTCCCATTTCAAACGGTTAGAGAATGAACTTCGCAAAGAGCTGAAGATGGACGAAGACCAAGTAATGAAGTTTTTGTGTGCCTTTACCGTTTCAAGAGAACCAATGCCAATAGCGTTTGTTTCAAGACTATTAAACCCTGGTGGAAAGTCGTTGTCTGCTCAACGAAGAATAAACAGAGCAATCGCCTGCATCTCTTCCCTTTTACCGATTCGCAATGATTGTCTTCACTTTTTCCACAAATCGATCAAAGACTGGTTGACGAACACCTTGTGCTATGGACGACATGATTTCATCGTGGACGAGAAGGAAGGCCACGAGATTCTCTTCGAACTTTGCAGGAATGAGCTTGACAATATCAAGCGAAAGGCTGTACATGATTCCACCTTCAGTGACACTGAAAGGTACGCCTTGCAACATGGTGTCCAGCACATGATTGAGCTGATCGGATTGGGTGAAAGTCCAAGACCTTGTAATGTAGAAGAGCTGATTAATGCGTATGTGACCGATTTGGAGCTCATTTATGCCAAACTTTGTGTGAACAACACGGCTTCCTCTGAGGATATTTCCAGTGTTCAAAAGTACATTAAGCCAACCTTGCTCAGTGAGCCAAGTCAGTCTCTTTTAATTTCTTTGATAAAAGTGCTTAGAAAACACTCTTATTTGTTAAGAGAACATCCCCTACTTTGGTTCCAAAGTGTGATCAATGACGGACCTCCTGAGCTATCATCTGAAGCCGCAACCATCCTCGAAAACAGGCTTCCCACTGTGCCGTACTTTAAATACTTAAACAAGAAAGAAGAAAATGGAGCAGTTCAAGCCCGATTTTACTGTTCAGACACGGTGGCGTGTTTTGATGTTTCACCTCAAATGGACTACATGGTGTGCGAATGCCGCGATGGAACAAT